GAGGGGGCATCAGAATTTTAGAAACACCAAAGTGGGGCATGGCCGAAAATAGATTAGGAACTAGAATCATAAAAGGAGACATTGGTTGGTTCAGTTTACACTATGGCTTTAGGCAGACTTAAGTCAAAATTAAGCAGAGGTAGATATAGGTCCAATTTATAGTCATAAAAATAGAGATAGGTCAAGTTGACATTAGAATAAAAACAAGGGAGACATTAGTTCAATTTATATAAGAATAAAAAAAGTAGATTCAAGTCTGGTTTACACTAGAGTTAACAAATGTAGAGATATTGATTTTTTTATGGCTTATCAACCCTTTTGTAGGTTATTTAAAGTCAGAAAATACTTTTACATTGTAAGAATTTTGGGGGAAGGTGATAATAGTTTTAATTAACCTATAGATGGGGGAGAACAGGTGGATTCATGCCTAATCAGAATTTGATAAACAAACAAGAAATCATGTGAATGTAAAGTGGGGGATCAATTCTCTACCACAATCAATACATGAAATGACCTCTCATTTTGTGGCCACGGTAGTTTCCATAAATTTGTATTCCAGAGAATGTAAATAAATCTAAAATACATGCCTGTGTAGGTAATCGTTATTTGATTGATTTATTGATCTATTATCCATTGCAGGTTATTTAGAGCCAGAAAATAGTTTTAGATAGTAAGAATTTTTTTTTTGGAGATAATAATGGTTTTAGTGATACAAGTCTTACTAACTAACCCACAGTTGGGGTGGGGGAAGACGAAGTGGATTTATACCATTCCCAAGAGTATTTGCATTTAAGTGAATATAACAAACCCAATAGGGAGTGAAAATTTGCTCTCTGATTAGCAATTTCCAGCCATTATGTACATCACTTGCACATCCAAGCTTACATCACCTGGGATTTCCAAATGGTCACTTATTTAAATACTGACCATATAAAACCGATTTATATTAGAATTAAAAATAAGTAGACATCGGTTTAGTTTACAATGGAGTTAACAAAAGTTGGTTTGGTTTGGTTGTTTTGTTTTACAGCATATCAACCATAATGGGTTATTTAATGCCAACAAGATTGTTATTGTTAGTAATATTTTTTTTTTTAAAAATGTATTGCTGGTAATTTTTTCTTTTCCAAAAATGTAATAATTTTTCCAAGAAAGTATTGCTGGTATTAAAACCTATTTTTATACTTTCATAGTGTTTTGAAGTCTTTTTAAACTATTTTCCCATAGCTTGGACCCTAACAGCTGATACCACCCTGGGTCAGGGTGGACCAGGGAACACCAGCAATTAAGAGGTGGTTCCACGCTCCTCAAAATCCTCCTGATCAGGTCTTGCTGCTGGACGTAGTTTATCATCTTACCCAGGACGGACGCTTTACAAGGCCCAAGAGCAACTTGAGGTAGAGGGTTACATTAAGGGGTAATTTATACAGACAGGAGGAGAATACAATGGTTAACTCTAAACTTATACAGGTTAAGATTGTAGTGATCAGGGGGAAACATCCTTTTGGGAGTCTGTTCCACAGAGCAGTAGTTCACGGGAAGAAGCTGTTCGAGTGGAACTTACTTCTTATTGATGGAATATGGAGGAAATGTGGGTGGCTGGCTACAATGTAAGTGGCATGGCAGGTCCTAGCCATGTTAGACCTAGCAGAACGAAGGAATGGAGTACTTTTCACATCCTGTCTGTGAGAGAGAGATTGGAGGGTGGAAAATAATTTGTCAACCACAAAGACTCCGAGACATTTTTGAACTCTATCAAGAGTGGAAAGTGAGGACTGGGCAGCTCCCACCTAAATAAGACAACAGTACTCTATTTTTGGCCTGATCTGGCTCTTATAAGAGTAGAGGGCAGCATGAAGAGTCAAGTACTTACTGGAGCGGTACAAGAAGCTGATAATTTTACCTGCATCTTTAGAGATGTATGTATGAGTTCCACTTGAGGTCAGCTGTGAGTTTGAGGCCCAATATTCTCACAAGGCATTCAGGGTTTGAACGATGGTGATGGAATGTAACTAGTTTGATTTTTGAGGCATTGAAAGTAATCAGCCAGATTTTTTTTCCTCACTGTTTTACATTGGAATTAAAAAATCATAAAAATAGGTCTGGTTTACATTAGAGTAAGAAGAAAGTAGACAGAAGTCCACTTTACATTACAGTCATAAAAGGTAGACATAGAAGCTGTTTATACAAAATCCAAAAAATAAACATTGCTTTGGTTTACACTAGAATCATAAGAGACACTGGTGCAGTTGTAATGGAAAAACACAATTTACACAGAGATAAAACCAAATTTACACAATTATCAGAAAATATATATCTCTAACTACACACCAATTTTGTCTATCTAAGTTACAAACATGTCACACCCTACTCAAAACAAACTTTAAAAGAAACATAAATATATCAGTCTGCTGGCCATTATTGCTTTCAATTCTATCTAAATGTTTCCCTTATATAGGCTATAAGAACTTGGACAGTAGCACACCAACAGAAAGTGGAGAGAAACTCCATGCTTGCACAAATGCATGCATGGCTGACTGCCCATCTGACCATTAGGCTTTGTAAATGACCTGTAAACAGCAAATGAACAGACCCTATCAATACAAAGCGATAACCACGAAGCAGTCAGCCAGGGTTAGGCATACTTAATTTTCACGCTCTCACTTCACATCTAACACACTGCAGATTCAACCCGCTACAGTATACCACTTACCAGAGATATTTTTATAACTTGTATATAAAAATAAATCTTTAGTCATTTATCTAAATAAGTATCCAAGTTTGTTTCTTTTACTCCAATCAACATTTAACCTTTGACACTTGAGTCCAAAAGTTAGATTTAGGAGTAATTGACACAAGAGTCAAAAATGTTGGTATTGGTCATGTTTATGCACAAGTCTGCAAGTATTCTTTTGTACCAATTACAAGTGCCATCCAGAACTGTCTTGCTGTTGGGAACTTTTCAAATTTCAAAATAAGCATGTGGATTCAAGTAAATGTTCTATCAGGAATTTGTGTATAAGTTTAATAGCTGGGGAACAAAATTTTTGTGCTGTGGAGAAAATTGTTTTAAGCATAATAAATATGCTATACCAAAATAATGACAGACTGGGAAAAAAAAGATAGAAGATTGTTGAATCAACTATCAGCTGGAATGAAGTTGTATCAACCCAACCACTCAGAAGTGTGATATTGGGGTAGAAATTGAAAGAAAGATTGAATATAACTGAGTCAAGATTAGTACTCAAATCAAATGCAATGTCCGTGTCTGTATATAGGGTGTGTGTGTCTGAGTGTAATGTAACCCTCCTCTGTTTCTATGCTGGTTTTTGTTTTGTTTTGTTTTACAGCATATCAACTTCAATGGGTTATTTAATGCTGACAAGATTTTTATTGCTGGTAATATTTTTTCAAAAAATATATTGCTGGTAATACTTTTTTCTTTAAAAACACATTGCTGGCAATAATTTTTTTTCCTTCAAAAATGTATTGCTGGCAATAATTTTTCCTCAAAAATCTATTGCTGGAATTAAAACCTATTTTTACACTTTCATAGTGTTTTGAACCTAGTTTGGGGGTTAACTATTTGCCCATAGCTGGGACCCTAACAAGTGCTACCACCCTGGATCAGGGTGGACCTGGGAACACTAGCAATTAAGAGGTTGTTTGATGGTCCTCAAAACCTCCCGATTTGAGGTCTTTCTGTTGGATGTAGTTTATTGTCTTACTCAGGACAAACTGGTAAAGATGGATAGAAGATTGCTGAATCAACTTTCAGCTTGAATGAAGTAGTATCAACCCCCCACCCCAGAAGTGTGATGTTGGGGTTGAAATAGAAAGAAAGACTAAATATAACTGAGTCAAGATTAGAACTCAAATGCAATGTAGGTATCTGTATATAGGATGTGTGTGTGTGTATGTAATCCATCTGTTTCTATGCTGGTGATATGAAATTTCTTCTGACTATATAGAAATCAAATATAGAATATTATTTGAAGTCCATCTTTGTTATTTCTGTCACAACATTTCAGTCTTTGTTTAATCTGGCTTTCTACAGGTGACTGTCAATCCAGATATATATATATATATATATATATATATATATATATATGAAGAAATATACTCTTAAGGTGTGCTATATTTATATGATAAAGTGCTCAATATCAGAGACAGAGCATGCGTAAATATAAAAGTGTAGCTAATCAGTATTTTGCCACCCATTTGTTGATTTGTTTTCTATGTTTTTCTTTGTTTTTATGGTTTCAGGTTATTTAAAGCCAGAAAATAGTTTTAGATTGTAAGAATTCTTTTTTTAGATTATAATGATTTAGTGATACAAGTCTTACTAGTTAACCCATAACTGGGAGAGAAGAGGTGGATTCATACCTTTCCCAAGGTTATTTGCATGTAAGTGAATATAATGAACTCAAATTATTTGATTGAGTTTTTCTTTGTTTTTATGGTTTCAGAAGAATTCTTTTTAGATTATAATGATTTAGTGATACTGTTTGTGGCCCAGGTGCCAAAAAAGACACACTGTTTGTGGCAGGTGCCAAAGACACACTGTTTGTGGCAGGTGCCAAAGACACACTGTTTGTGGCAGGTGCCAAAGACACACTGTTTGTGGCAGGTGCCAAAGACACACTGTTTGTGGCAGATGTCAAAAAGACACTATTTGTAACAACTGTCCAAATAAGAACAGAAATAATAGATGCTCAAAGGACAATATTAGTAGCAGATATCTTAGAGATGTGTGGCAAATGTTGACTCACTGATTTTTGTGTCTTATTTCTAAAGGATAGCATGTGTTGACTCATACTCAATGGATATAATTTCTGACAGATGTCCAAGAAACACTTATGGGAAAAGGGATTGTATGAGTGACATTTCATGAGAAGGAGAGCAAATAGCAGATATTGATGGTTATGAAGTAATTATACTTAGTATATTTAGTATTTATATATTTTTTTTTTAAATTGAAAAATTAATAAAAGACTTACCTGTTTGTTTGTCACCAGAAAGGTAATCAGAATAATCAGTCAAACTCAGGTGCAGGGAACTGGAATCCTCTTCAACTTCTTCGATGTCTCCAAGATCACCCACAGAGTCGGGGTTTGGTAGCACCAGGGGTTTATCATCTGTAATTGAAAACAAAGAAAGTTTCAGTCAGTTTAATTATCTCAAGAACTGATTCTATAAGTGTTGTAATGGAATGTCCCACACTCCCTATTGCCTACAATAGCAACAAGTCTTTTATATGTCACATTAATTTTATTAAATAATCTTACAGTCTGATCTATTAAATCTTTTATGTATGTAGGAAGCGAAATGGTTGTAATGTAATGTCCCACACTATGTGGGACATTACATTATGCCTATGTGGACTGACTATATCAGTAGCTATATATAGGGAGCATAGGATATACCTCAGAGCTTGCTTTGGAAATTACTAGCCTGCCACCCGATTCCCTGTCTTTCAGTAGTGTATTCTCTTTTTCAATAAACCTCTCTTCTTTCATCTATGCACATTTTGCTGTTCCTTCACTCAAGTACTACCTTTGTCTGTTTGTAACTTCTTAAGGTTACAACAAAAACACTGCTGCTGGGGTGCTATCATTGGCCAAAGTATCAATCATAACACTACTACTAAGAGTTGTAAACTGGTCTATGAAGGTACCACCTTATAACACCCCTATTCCTCTAACCTATGGTTGCTAGGCTCTTAGCACTTTGTCTCTTACTTCTGGATGGTTCAGTCACTAACTTTTTTGTTCCAGCTGATAATTAATTTGGCAACCTTCTAACAATCTTTCCCAGCTCTTGTTTGTTGTGGAATAATTGGACATGGTTAAGTGTAGCTGACAAAATTCCCAACAAGTGGAACTGACAAAGTTTGCAATAAACAATAAGAAGGGGGGAGCAAAGAACAAGGCAAAAAATAGTACGAGATATAAAAAATAAATATATATATAAGGTGCGATGGGTAAATTGTCACCAATTTATATTTTTAATTTAATACATATATGTTGTTTGTTTTTTTATGTTCATTGTCCAAGATAGATAAGCTTGAATAAAGACATACTGCCTAAATATAAACAGTGTTGCAATAACTTGGACCAGTTTTAAAAGTGAATTAAGTTTAAGTGTCTAATAACTTTTTTTCTTTTAGATTTAACAAAAGTCTTTGGCAATTTCAACCATGGAAAAATAAACAGTCAAACAATATGTTAAAGTTTCTAGAGTGCAATTGGAAAAAAAATGTTCGTAAATTCAAACAAAATGGTTCAGTGGCAGATGTGAAAACACCATTGCGTGCTCGTTTATGCCGTTCAGCTGAAAACATTGCTGCAGTGCACAAGAATGTGGCCAAAAATCCAGACACCTCTATTCGTCATTGCGAGCAGGAATTGAACCTCTCCACAACAACTTTACATCGTTTCCAATTGCACTCTTGGTTGGTCAATTATGTTGATGAAGAAATCGCAAAATGCATTTCTGTTTGAACATCCATTTTCGTAATAGGCTTCAATAACTCTATGTGTGTATATGTATATATATATATTTATATATATGGTTGCGATAGAGAAATTGTCATTTAAATTATACAAAAATAAAAATAGAAGACATCTCATTTTAACCAATATATTTACCAAAATCTTGAAATATTAAGGAGTAAATTTATTCTATAAAATCAACATTGGCTCCAACCACAGACTCCAGACAATGTTGGAATCCACTGCAGCTCTTCTGGACTGTCTCCTTGTTTAAGTTGGTGAATGCTGCCATAATCCTTGCCTTCAATTCATCTTTGGTGTTACAAGGAGGTTTGTTGGTCTCTCACTCAACTGCACCCCACACATGAATAAGTGAATTGCAACATAGTGCACTTTTTCTTACAAATGGTGCCCAACTGACTCTACTATAATGCATAGTTGGCAAAATCAAAAACAATGCACATGCATGAAATTAAAATATAAATTGCCAACAATTTATCCTTCGCAATCTGTTAGGGTATATATATATATATATATATATTGATGTATGTTTCATTAAATAATATAGACAAGTTTTGCTTATTTATTTTAAGTAAATTCAATGATAATATTATTAAGCTTATCAGACAATATGAAAGAAATTTACTTAAAATAAATAGACAAAACTTTATATTATTTAATGAAACATGTATGAATGAAAAAATGCTGCCTAAATACACACTATTTTTATATATATATATATATATATATATATCTGCAATTGTGTATTTGGCCAGCAATCCCTATTTTATACAGGTTTCATTGAAGATGACAGACAAGGCACTGCAATTAATTTTTTCATTATATTTTTCTTGCATTTATACAAGAAATTTCTTTTTTGAGAAATGTGTGAGAAATATCCAAATGATCTTTGGATATGAACACTTTTGGTTAATCTATTAGGATGCGTTTTTGTTTGTCTGAATAAGTACATATTTTTTATAACAGTAGAAATGTTTTAATTCCCCGAACACAGTGAGCACATTCTGTGTGTGTTTAAACTCACAGGAATCAGTCAGTTAAATGTCATATGTGATATACACTTTGGCGACTTTTGATACATGACTGACAAAGCAGATTTTTCCCCGCAGTAGGTCGACATTTCTTTCTGCGGTAGACTGGTTGTTAACCAAGGCAAAAGAATCCTGTCTGTCCTGCTATTCAACACATAACTCTCAGTAATATCAATTATGGACATGGCTAAATTGTTCTGTTTGAGAATTAAAACATTACTATAAAATGCATGAAAAGAAACTATTAGAATAGAACTTACAGCAGTATCTAGCTATTTCAACAGTAAAATGATGAGACCTATCTGCCAATCTAGTTAGTTGTGTTATATGTGATACATGCTTGGGTGATCATGTCCATTTCACTTCATGACTAACTAGGTAGAAGATTTTCTTGCAGGAGGTTGTCATTCCTTTTTACAGTAGACTAGTTATTAACCAAGGCTATAGGATCTAACCTGTTCTGCTATTTAACCCATAGCTGGGGGGAGAGAGATGGATTCCTAACTTTCCAAAGGGTATTTTGTGTGTAAGTGAATGTAACAAACCCAACTGGAATTCAAAATCAGCTCCTTGATTTCTCATTCTGAGCTGATATCTGTTACCCTACAAAGCAATCTAGTAGTATGTTTAAATTCATGTAGTCAAGTTAAAAAAAAAGAAAAAAAAAAGAAGGGAAGCTCATTTAGAAAATTGTCACTAAAATATTTGTAGAAAAGTCGCAGGGGAGCCACATCATGGTGATGGGAAAGTGACACCTCATACTTAGTGGTTGTAGAAAGTTAAAAGCAACCTGAGTACTGCAGTAAAAATCAGCAATAAAAATGATACAACAAACCAGAAAAAAATTAGTATTTCTTTCCTTACTAGCAGAGATTTTCAGTACTTGACATTAAAACGGAATCCTGGAAATAATCGCTAAATGAAAAGAAGGGAAACTAATTCTCAGAACAAAAATAAAACCATGATTAATTTTATTCCAAGAAAGAAATTCACCAAAATGCCATATGAAGGTGGACCTGTCCGTGTCATCAACAGATGCAAAATAAAGAAAAATCATTTTTTTTTCTTGATTTTTTTTTTTTTTGCTTCTTTCAATATGAGGCAAAAAAAAAAAAAAATCTTATTATGACAGGCTTGCACTGCATTATACAATCCCAATATCCTATTATGGTGTTCAATGGAGTTTGTACCATTGCATGCAGAATTTTCCAGACGAAGAGAGAAGCCATTGGATAGATGCCACGGATTGGCAATAGCTTGAAAGCATGTGAAACCAAGCAGCTTTGCCCAAGATTGGAATTAGCGCCCCGGTGGTTGATCTGTACAAGACAAGGCAAGGGTCAGGTGACAGAAAGGTCAGTGCAAGCTGGATGGCTAGAGAAATGGAAAGTGGGGGAGGAGTTGTTCAATTGAAAGAGCAAATGTCTTGGATTTTGTGAAGGATTTCTAGAGAGATCATGTGAACTGGATATAGAATTTTCTTCATCTTCACAGAAATAAAATAAATGCGGTCATAAAACCACAATAAAGCGAATGTACACAAATTTTCTTTTTTTTTTTTTTTTTTTTTTATTAATTGCTGGTTTTACTGGATGTTTTTTGATGAAGGACTGTCAACATTCCAAAAATTATTTAGACTAGTATCCTCATAGAAATGTGTTTCTACAGAAGGATGCTACTAATACCATTAATCAAACATGACAAAGTTTTAGAAAAAAAATGGAAACAAAAAAGACACTTAACATCAAAAGAGATAGTTGAACTTTCTAGGATATATAATGAGGAAAGAAAGCTCAGAAAATCTGATACTCACAGGACAAATTGAAGGCAATTGAGACAGAAGAAAACAATGCATAACTGACCTAGCAAGCTTGAGTAAATGGATTGCAGAACAAGGTTTAGGAGAAATAACAAAAAGACAAAATTTGTTAAGAGCTGAAAAGGACAGGAAATTGTGGAGAGCCATAACTGACAACCTTCAAAAGAGACATGTCATATAGAAGAAGAACAAGCTTATGCAAATGGATGGCAGAACAGGGATTAGGAGAGATAGCAAAAAGACAAAATTTACAAAGACCTACGAAGGAGAGGAAATTATGGAGAGCCATGATCACCAACGTCCTGAAGTGATATGGTACATAAAAGAAGTAACCTAATCATTGTTTTGATCAAAGCACTGCAACTGGAGCATTTATAAGCTTTTCTCATGCTGATGACGCTATTATTAAATTATTTTGACGACTATCCTCATCTTTGTCTTGATTGTCCCAGAAACAATGCCAAAATCTCATGACTAAAACAACTTCAAATATGAAGATCATCAGACCCTGTCAAGGTTGATTATGAGTGTAACAGCTTTTCCTGATAGTAGTATAGGCAGATAAGGTAATTATGAGAGAGTGGTTTGACCAAACACTCACTCACTTTATTTTTTTTATCAACCAGTGTATTATTGGGAGTTATGTATTTTCTCATTTGACAATTGATAGAGTACAAGGGAAAAGTGGGTTCATGCCTTTCATAAGGGTATTAGTGTGAAACATAGATAAAAACACACTAAGCAGAATTCCAGCTTGATTGGCTAATTCCATT